CACAAAAATGGTATCAAAATGTTCAGCTTGATCCTGAGAAGGGAGTTATTACTTTTAGTGGGATTTAGAGTTAAAATGACAATATAAAAAAAGAGCAAAAAAACGAGGCTCAGTGTCTGACAGAGATAGGAATCTTTCTCTTTGAAACACACACACAGCACTGTGGATTTCTGACTCCAACACTCTTTTTAACTCGCCCTCATGGCACAAATATCGCCCTATTGGTCTAAAAGTCGGTCATGATATAGATACACATGCCTGCTCCCATAAAATGTTTTCAAAAATTCGCTAGGGCTTATGGTTTTTTGTCAGGGGCCGGGTGTCTCACAAGTATAGAAACTCCGTCTCCAGCATCCTGTCTGACAGAGCCAGCCCAGGTGCAGATCGTTAATTACCAAAGCACAGAGGTTTAAAAATGTTTGTAGATTAAAACAAGAAAGAGATAAAACAGCAAATAAAGTTACAAAGTTAAACACAAAACAATGTGAATTAATTGAAAGTACAAAACTAAACATAAGCGGTAAAACTGATCAAATCAATGCAAATAAAAGTTGACTAAAAAGGGAAAAAAGTAAAATAACTAGATAAATATGTAATTAGTCATTAAATCCATCAGCCTTTACTGATTTTCAATGGAAACTATAAGCTGTGATGTAAAAACTACTGAGTTTCATAACTTCTCCTTTCAATTAACTGATCAGCGACGCAACATCTCAGTTTGCCTCTTAGAGTCAAACTGCTCTGTTAATAAATCCAGAAGGTCACTGCTGTGACCTTGATGAAAACAGGAAGGTCGTTTCTGAGGGGGAGTAAAGATGGCCGCCTGTTGCTCCACAGAAAATGGGTTTCATTGCTGTATGTAAACTTCTGACTGCAACTCCAAACTCCAGTAATAAAGTATTTTACTTTATGCATAAAATAATTAAATATAATGAAACACAAATGTTTCTATTTTTGTACAGTTTTGGGTTCATTACTGCTCTGACTGTGTTGTTCTTTCAGCAAATGTTTTTTAGAGTGTTTAGTTAATGATTAATCGATTCCTCCCGATTAATCATGTTAATCGTTGCAGCCCTAACGGTTGCGATGGCTGGTTAGTTCTCAGACAGTGAATGGGAGGCATGAGCCGGTGTGTTTGTGTCACCAGGAGCATCATGCGCGCCCTGCTGGAGGCGGTGCAGTACCTGCACTCCTTCAGCATCGTCCACCGGGACCTGAAGCCGGAGAACATCCTGCTGGACGATCACGGACACATCAAGCTGTCCGACTTCGGCTTCTCTGTGCAGCTGCAGCCTGGAGAGAAGCTCAGAGGTACCTGGAGATCCCACCCAGCAGCTCAGAAACAGAAACACTGATGATTTTATGTCCTGACACGGTCTGAATCGCTTCCTGTCCTCAAATCAGAGCTCTGTGGAACACCTGGATACCTGGCGCCTGAAATACTGAAATGCTCCATGGATGAGATGCATCCAGGCTACGGGAAGGAGGTGGACCTGTAAGTCTGCTTTCCTCCACAGCATTTCCCTCAGCTTCCCCTCTGCAAAAACACAAAACCTAACCAAATATTTTTATTTAGTTCTAGTGGAAATATCTGAAAAACAAGAAAATTAACTTAAAGTAACTTTTCAGCAAGACATTTCAGTCAACCGTTCCTTAATATTGATGAAAAAGTTCTAGTTCCACTGGTGCCGTTACCTAGCAACCCCAGCCCGTTACCTAGCCCAGCCCGTTACCTAGCAACCCCAGCCAAGCCCAGTCCGTTACCTAGCAACCCCAGCCAAGCCCAGCCCGTTACCTAGCAACCCAGTCCTAGGTCCACTGGCAGATTATTTCACTTATAACAAGACATTTTCCCCACGTTATGAGTGAAATAATCTGCCAGTGAAACTAAAACTTATTTAAATCAATATTAATGAATTATGTACTAAAAACAAGCTCCTTTTGTCACATTCTAAGACATTTTATAAAGTAGATAAACTAGCCGGTAAGGTTTTGTGTTTTTGCAGTGCTGACCTCTGTGTTTTGTCCCGACCGTAAGCTGGGCCTGCGGCGTCATCCTCTTCACGCTGCTGGCCGGCTCGCCTCCGTTTTGGCACCGGAAGCAGATGCTGATGCTGCGGATGATCATGGAGGGCCGGTACCAGTTCAGCTCCCCGGAGTGGGACGACAGATCCGACACCGTGAAGGACCTGGTGCGCTCCCCGTCAGACCAGCATGGTTTTATCAGGAAGCGGTTTGGTTTTTAACATCTGTGTAAACGGCCGTCAGATCTCCAGGCTGCTGGTGGTGGACCCGGCTGCCAGGCTCACCGCAGAGCAGGCGCTGGCTCACTCCTTCTTCAGGCTGTACCAGAAGGAAGACGTCCGTCTCTTCAGCCCCAGGAAGACGTTCAGGGTGAGCATGCACAGCACAGCAGTCAGGAAATCTACTAAAGTTATATCATGAATAATTCTTTGATATTTATTTTATTTTAGAAAAAGCCAGGTAGCTAAGCTACTCTTCTACTGATTAAGTTACAGAATTTTATGCACAAACTGTTTCCTATTGAAAGGGGCAGCATTATGTGAAATCGACTCTTTTGAGTTTTACATCACATTATAAAGACATTTTATGAGTTTCACATTTCTACTGAAAAATTGTAAAAACTTTTCAACCTGTCCAATGTTTTTTTCTAGAAAGGTTTTAAGAAAATTTCTGAGTTTGAAAAATCTAAAATTTGCTTTGGATCAGTTGGACTTTTTCTTAGAGGAGCACAAACACCAATGCTGAAACTCTGAAGTTTTTTCTAGAGAATGTGTACAGTATAATCAATCTGAAATTTTCTAAAAAAAAATTTCTGGCAGCTTTTTGACTCTTCAAACATTGTTTTAGAAAATTGCTGCAATCAGTCTCAAAACTTCAGGGTTTTTTCCAGCAAATTTTCAACTTTTGAAACTCAGGTTTCCACATTTTCAGTTTTTTTCTTGAACATTTCTGAGCTTAATCTCAAAATGTCCTGAGTTTTGCCTAGAAAATGTATCGACTTTTTAAACTCAGGAATTTCCTTTTTATTTCCTCAGAAAATTTCTGAGATTGTTTTTCTTCCAGCAAATTTTCAAACACAGAAATATTCTAGTTTTTAATTTGGAAACATCTCAGATTAATTTCAAATGTTTTTGTTCTTTCATATTTTGACTTTTCTATGTTTTTTCTAGAGAATTTCTGAGCTTAATCTCTAAATTTCTGAGTTTTTATCTGCAGTGGCCGCGACGCGCCGTCATTCTGCAATAAAAGCAGCTTTGTGACTAAACTCTTGATGACTTGCAGCATCTCTCTCTTCTCGTCCCGTCCAGGTTCTGATCGTGAGCGTTCTGGCCTGCATCAGGATGTACAGCCGGTACCGGCGGGCGCGACCTCTGACCCGGGAGGTTCTGGCCAGAGACCCGTACTCGCTCCGCGGCGTGCGGAAGCTAATCGACGGCTGCGCCTTCCGGATCTACGGCCACTGGGTGAAGAAGGGCGAGCAGCAGAACCGGGCCGCTCTGTTCCAGAACACGGCCAAGATCGTCCTGCTGGGCCTGGAGGACTTTGAGACGTAGAGCCGCTGTAAAAGCTGAGCCGTTGCTTTTAGTTTGTTTTTATTTAACTGTGTGCATGTTGCTGCCACGTCGTGTTACTGTCTAATTCTGACATGTGCAATTCAGGGATCAGGAAGTGCGACGCCTGAACGCATCGCTGCGACTTCAAGATGCATGTGTTGATATTCCTTATCTTGTCGATCCAAGATTGTGAGTGAAATGTTTTTTTCTGCGATGCACTTCGTATGGGAGGACACGTTGCACAATAATTTGCATAAGTACACTGTGTATATTTAGACTTTTACCTGCAGAAGGAAATTGGAAATGAAAACATTCAGATGTTATTTTTACAGCCTCGTTATTTTAACGCTCAGACTCTCCAGAGTTGGGTGTCGGTACTGTAGGTTACTGTAGTTCTGATTCAGGCATTCCTCAACAACGTAACCACTCACTGATGGTAAAAGCCAGCAGCAGCATTCCCGACTCTTTGCTTTGATCATTTCCATTTAAAGTGCCTGCTTCAGGATTGTACTGTATGTGAATTCAAATGTTTTACTGACAATAAAACAGATGGTTAAGTAGTTTAATTTAACGTTGGCTGTTCTGGTTATTTTTTGCCTTTCTTGCCGGATTTGGCGGACTGGGCTTTGCTGCTCTGCTCGGACACCGTCTCTTTGATGCGCTGGTCCAGCTGCTTGGACACCTGCTCCATCTGCTCCTTGACCTCCTGCTCCACCAGGGCCTTCAGGTCCACGGAGGCTGGAGGACGACACACAGTGATCATGCTGTAAACACAGACGGCCATTTTGATAGCCGCCTGATAAAACATCTCTAAGAAACCTTAAAATTATAGATGCTATCTGTAAACTTACATTTAATTAATAGTTTATTAGATTAAAACTGGTTCCCATCACAGTGGGGTAGCAACTAGTTACATTTACTTGAGTCACTTATTTTTGTCATTTTGGTCATTAAAATACCAACATTTCCACTTAACTTTATACTTTGATATTAACTTTATATTTAATATTTTTAAATATTAAATGATTGACTAATAACGTCATTTTGAACCTTTTAATGTTGTAGTTTGACCGCCATCCAGCAGAGGGCGCCGCTGGTCATCCCTACGCGGAGCCATTTGAAACAAAGATGGCGGCCAGACCGGAACGGCAACGGCAAACGGTCCGAACAGAGTCCCGTGTGGGATGTTAAATACCTTTTATGCGGTTCTGTTTTGAAATCTAAACAGTAGATAAACTCCACAGGGAACAACCAAGGAAAATTATAACAGGATGTCAATAAAAACGGGAGATTTTGAGGATTGTAATGAGTTAAATCATTCATGGAGCGAAGTTTCAGCAACAACAGGCGGTACTTCTGGATGAAGGTCCCTCTGTTAATGTGGGATTAACTGTTTCACATTTTACTCGTTTCATCTTCTATTTTTCTATTGAGCAACTTACAATGTTCCTGTTTTTCTAAATATAGAGTTTAATAATGTGAGAAAACCACAAATTTCTGCTTATTCAGGAAGTATTTAATGCATCCGACACGAAAAATGTTAACATTTAATTTGTTTTTTAATTATTCATGTTATGAAAAATTTTGTCTTTATGTTATTAAAATATGGTCGACCCTCTCGACTGAAGAAAAAAACTCCGGTTTTTAAGAAAATTGCCACTTATCAATTTATTGTTTGTTGATTGATAAGAATCCACAAAGGTCTGAAAATCTGCCAGCAGATTATTTCCCTTATAACATGAAAATTTTCCTTAGAAGTACTAATTTTTCATAAATATTAAGGAATTACTGACTCAAAACAAGTTCATATTTCTTATTGAAAAGTTATTTGTAAGTTAGTTTTGTTTTATTCCAAGTGTACTGAGATATTCGCACTAGAAACTGAAACTACTTGATAAGATTTAGTTTCACAAATCTTCACCAGAATTTGTAGTAAACTGTAAAAGTCATGTTACCTTCTGCAGTTTCTTCCTCCATGGCCGAAGTTTTCTCTGTCTCAGAAGAATCGTCCCCTGTTTTGGATGAAAAGTTTTTTATTATTTCGTCTCCAGTTTTGATGCAGGTTAAACAGAGAAACTGTTACCTTGTTCAGCGGACTCGTCTGCAGCCAGCCCCTCTCCTCCCTTCCCAGAATAAGTTAAAAACAAGTCAAGTTTTACCTGTTGGGAGATTTAAAAAGGAGAAAATAATTCAGTCCCAACTTTACTCCACATATTGTCACACGAATGAATCACAGAAAATAAATTATAAATCCCAAACTTCTTTTAAAATATGTAAGTAAGAATATTTTAATATTTATTTGTTCTAAAAAAAAAAGGGACACACCAAATTTGTAGAAAAACAATATTTATTTTGCTAGATTTATTTGCTAGAAAATTTCTAAATTTCAAAAAGCAAATGAAGTTTCTTCTCAAAGATTTTCTAGATAATTTGTGACTTTTTAAACTCAGAATTTCTATATTTTTGGGGAAAAGTTCTGAGATTAATCTCAAAATTTCAACATTTTTGTTAGCAAATTTTTTGACTTTTCAATCTCAAAAAGTTCCATGTTTTTCCTTAGATTTGAGTTTTTCTAGCATATTTGTGACTTTTCTCTGAATTTTCCTTGTTTTTTGAAATAAATCTCAAAATTTTTGTTTTTGGTGTTTTTGCTGGTAATTTTTTACTTTACATGTTTTGTTTTGTTTTTTAAAAGAAAATCTTAGTTTTTTCTAGCAGATTTTCAACTTTTCAAACTCAGAAATTTTCATGTTTTTTTCTAAAACAATCTGAGATTTTTTGGCAAAAATGTACTGTTTTTTTCTACCTACAATGGCCCTAATCTGCCATTGAACAGGGCAGATTTTTCTCCATATTGGGTGAAAATCTTGAAAGTTTCCCAACTAAAACAGACCTTTGGGATTTTCCATGCTCCCGTACTCCCATTGGAAGAAGCTGGGCTGAACGGACGTTACCTGCGGGGTGAATATGTACTTGTAGAGTCTGTCGTGCCGCAGGTAATGGTCCTGGATGTAATTTAAAACGCAGTTGACCTCATCCAGGCTGAACAGCTTGACGCTGAAGGGAGGTCTCTGGTGGAAGAGAGACGAGCGCATGAGGAGGCGACGCGGCGGTGAGATAAAAGTTCAGCTGCGACTAAAACAGGCCTGTTGGTGACACACACCCTGACCGAGTGACACAGCAGGAGGTCGTTGCAGTACTTGAAACACTGCTCAGAGTTGTTGAGAGGAGTTTCTGCAAAATGAAGAAGAATATTTCCCTTTACTTAAAACTAATCTAAAACCTCATCAGACCGAAATATAAAGTTAAGTGGAAATTACAATAATTCATATAAGTTACAAAAAATAAAATCAGGCAAAATAAATTTTTTCTAGATCCGTTACTTTCAATAAAAAACTGATTAAACTTTAACAGAAACTGCAGGTGTGAGTNTGTCTGGTGAATTTCTGGTTAAAACATTTTAGCTTTTTATTCAGTGGGTAGAAAATCCAGAAATTTCACGCAAGTAAAAGTAAAAATACTTCATAATAAAATTACTCAAGTAAAAGTAAAAAGTACAGCGTGGTAAAAATACTTCTAAAAGTACATTTTTCAACAAAAGTTACTCATTTCTACCCAACTCTGGTTATAAGACAGATAAATGGTTTTCCTGTAAGATAAGTTGTCTCTCGCCTTTAGCACGTTTAGCAACATACAAGGATGACTGACAGCGCTAAGCTCCGCCTCCTGGCTCTGATTGGTTGTTTTTGGTGTATTTCTTCAGAGAGGAAGTGGATTGGAGCGATCTTTTCACAGATTATCTGACTCATCACAAACCGTCACGATATGGAGACACTTCTAACCAATACAACATATTTTAAAATAAAAGTTACAAACTGCACTATTTTCAGTGGATATTTAACCTAAAATATGCGGTACAGTGTATGTAATGCTTCATAATAAAAACAGCTGAGCTTTGCTCACCTATGTTGGCCTCATGGATGGATTTGATGATGGAAACCAGTGCAGACGTCTGCGCCTTACTGAAGCCCTGCTGCCTGCAGAAAAGCACCGTTTGGACGTACAGCTCTAGCAGGACTGCTTTCTTTGGCTCTGGGAGGTCGACAGCCAACACGCTGCACAGGGCACTGCCACAGACCAGAGGGAGAGCCGGTTAGAACATGGAGCCTCTCAGGCATGCAGGAGCCAAAGGACCGAAAACAGAAACACCTTTCCAGATCAGGAACCGACTGGATTTGGTCAATAACCTCCATGTCGTGGAAGCTGATGTCTGTCCTGGGAAGAACAAATCCCGGGTTAAAACCTGACGTTGGGCGATTTTTGGTGTAGATAAACAAAAATGCAATGAGATGTCACCATAGCAACAACTTTGCTGTCAGGTCCCGAGGTACCTATGGAGAACAGGAATCTGTTTTTATTACCTGGGAAAATTAAACTAAGCTAAAAATAATCATGGAGAAACACAGTGTCTCTGCTTATTTCTATATGCATTGCATCATATTTTAGGTATTTTGGGGCCCTACTTTAACTTGTAAGTAGTTTTTTTTTTAATCATTTTTGATGAAAAAACTCAATTAAAACAAAAGAACTAAATAATAATTAAAAATAAACGTACAATTAAGATAATAAAGCAGCAGCCAGCTGGCTACGTGAGGAGCTTACCTTAATACTAGTGTCCATTTTATTTCTTTAGTTAACAAACTGCAACAATTCAGAACTAAAAACAAAAAAACCTGTTAAATACTTATTTGCTTATAAACTTAAAGTGACCGTTTAAGATGTCAAAAAACGAAACACAGGGTTTGGTAAATGTTAAATATTAGGTTTAGAGGATCTAAAACAGACTGCAAAGCGACTGGCACGCATCTGTTTGAGTCAGTGGTAACCTAGCAACGGCGCAAAGTCAGCTTCCGGTTTCCGGTAAATAAAACTGTTCCCCCAAAATATTAGCATGGAAAGAAATAACAGTATAGTTTTATGTAAGTAGACACACAAAGAAA